AGAGGAGACCCCCGGAATCACATGCTTGTCTGACCTGTTTAGGTTCCCGACAGAGGAGACCCGCGGAATCACATGCTTGTCTGAACTGTTTAGGTTCCCGACAGAAGAGACCCCCATAATCACCTGCTTGTCTGACCTGTTTAAGTGCCCGACAGAGGAGACCCCCGGAATCACCTGCTTGTCTGACCTCTATAGGTTTCGGGCACCAGGGCACCAGGTGCGCTCCCCTCCTTGTGTTTCTTTAAGCATGTGAATCAAAATGTCTGCTCTGGTTGGCAAAATCCAAAACAAGGTAATTTGGCCAAGGTTTCCGTTCATGGCAAGCATATTCCAACAGCTCCAGCCTTTGGTGCTTTTATTTCACAACTTTTGACAACAATCTCGCTCAGAATTTCAAAGAGCGTCAAGGGCATTGTTGAGATATGGAGGAAATTTCAAAATATAATGCTTCAACTACAAAATATAATGCATCAATGCAGTTCTCTGTTTTGACTTGAAACATAGGCCCAGGTGAGAAATTGACCAGCCTTTGCATATGTTTATCACCGGTGGGGCAGGGTGCGGTCGCCTTTTCTTGAAGACCTGGGGATCATTCACAATTTTGGTAGTGATTCATAAAGACATGCTCATGATATAGTAGGAACTGTACAATCAATTTTGCTTTTGGTAGAACCATCTTATGCTTATATAGAAGGATATATCGGATATATAATTCACACTGAATTCTGCTGCGAGCATTTTTCTGGGTTAACATTGTTTCAATATGGAAGAACGACACGTAACATCTTGTTCATGACAGTTGCACTTCCTTAGCATCAGTAAGGAAGTTTTTGGTTGTGTTGAATATAACTACACCTCTCTAAGGAAATATGTAAATAATCCCACGACTGGGGGTGATTTCCAAACTAAAACGTAAAAAGCTAAAAATCATGATCATCTGCTCAAATGGTAATGATACCCGGTGTTACCTGGTGTTCACAGAATGGTGAGCGTATCCTGCCACACAAGAGGCATCCGTCACAAACACATGCACAGGCAAGTCAGTCGTTGGCCTGACATTCGGAAACATCGCAAGTCAAACAGGGTAACGGCATTGGACATCATTTGTGTCACTGGCGCGTCAGTTTTGTAACATTGTCCAACATATAGCTTTTAAAAAGAATTACTCAGCCTATTGTAATCTTGCTGAAACAAAAGCAAGTCGTATGAGTTTAACCCAGAAGTCGATACTTTCAAGACGTATTTGTAAAAATCAGTGGGAGTGGTCATCAATTTTGTCATCAATGACTTTGTACGTATTTTTAGGGGTGTGTTCACAACCCCACCACGCCCCAGCCCCGTCATTGTTACATCCAACTTTTAGTTGCCGATAACGATTTTCACTGGAATAATTCACAGCGCTATGACAGCGTCTCTCAGGTGACGACTTATGAGCACGTGATTTTATTTCGTATCGAGGGTACCCGTGAAGGTCCGGGTTAGAATATTGATCTTCAGTAACCCATGCTTGTCGTAAAAGGCAACTAACGGGATCGGATGGTCTGGCTCGCTGACTTGGTTGACACATGTCACCGATGCTCATGCTGTTGATCACTGGATTGTCTGGTCCAGAATCGATTCTTTACAGATCGCCGCCATATAGCTGGAATTTTGCTAAGTGCGGCGTAAAACTAAACTCGCTCACTCACTCGGGGGCACGATTACCTCTAGAGTTGCCTCCTTTGGTCATCCCAGACAGCCATCGTCGTGGGCTCGAATCCCGGTTGGCCCCGATTGTGTTCCCAGGTTTGTCTCCCTGTATTCGTGGTCCCACGGGGGTATAGGGACAAATCAGGATCGTACAGATAGTATTACTCCGTGGCTTGTGAATACGTCCAATGAATAGGCCTTTATTAGTCTCAACACATGTACATCTGGCTGGCCTTTATAACGCGCATAATGGTTAGATTAACATGTGCATCTGTCGGAACTCTTCGACCCAAGCACAGTCACTCTGGGTATCACGAGATTCTGATTTTCGAACAGTGAATCCATACAGCTGACGGAATATGAACAAAGTGACTGATATTAGACTTGACACTATACAATTATAAGCTATACAAGAGGCCAATGCTTTGTCCCCTGTCAGTATTGTATTTTTCTTTGGGTCATTAAAACAGTCATTGACCTAAGTATTTATGCACAGATTGAACTTTTGAAACTGAATACACTGACCTAAATGTTTGTCAAAAGTTGCAGTGTTATTATCACGTGCACCTGTAACGCGATTCTGGAATATACCGACCGCTTAAATACACTTCTCGGCGTAAATTTGAAGCATGACTGACTCTCTTAGAGGTATATCTATATCTCAAGTGTCACCCTGAAATATACTGAGAAAAACTGAAAACTTAACACTCGGGATTTTTTGGACTAAATTTTAATAGTAGGTTTTAGACAATAAGTTTAGTTGTATGCTGTGCACTGAACATCTTGACATCAAAGGAAAACCAAAAAAGTCTGGCCGAAACTCTTTAACAAGGATAACGTTCATGATGTCAAGGTACCCTCCAAAATGAAGTTCATAGCGTGGAGAACAAGTCTATTGAGGTCTTCAGTAAGGGTTGTGACCTCCTCTACCGCCTCTTACAGCCACAGAACGTCTCCTCGTGGATCTTAGAACGTAAAACACACGCCGAGGCAGCCATTGCTCAACAAGGACACGTTGAAGATCTTGCAACGTCTGTGGTTTATTGACTTGCTGACGACTACGTCGACCCAGTTTGTCCCAGATGTGTTCGATAGGATTGAGGTCGGGGCTACGCTACATTATTCCATGTACATTGTATAAGTAGCGGGTACCACCGGTAGGGCAGGACCCTTTCCTGATATTTTGCGTTGCCTTGTTATTCTTTGCCGCTGTCGTGTCGTATTTTATCGCAGTGTGATATGCATTAGATGATATGCATTAAATGGAAAAAGTAGTAGAGAGCAGAACAGATTACCAGCCTCACTGAGATCCGGTCTTAGAGGTTAAAACATGCACATGTGTGGTTGTAGTGACGCCAGGGCCTCAACTGCTATACCAGTCCTAGTATATTTACTGAGGTGGTGAGGTGAAATGGGGTTTAACGGCGCACTTAAGGATATTTCACTCATATGACGACGTACATGCATGCATATGTGTGGCTGCTTGTGCTAGCCCAGACTAAAGCTGGTTTTATAGTGCTAGCCCACTGAGATACCATGCCGCAGTGAAGCATGAATACCCCACTCAGGCACATTACACTGACTCCGAGCCGAGCCGAGCGCCAGGCAGGGACCAACAAGTATAATTTTTAACGTCTTTTGGCGTGACGCGGCCGGGGATCGAACCCACGACCTTCTGCTCTCCGGGCGGACGCTCTAACCACTACACCACGGAGTCGGTTGTATATTTACTCAACTTCTGATGAGGGAACGATAATGTGACCCGGTTTGTGATGAGATATATGTATAATCCTTAAAATAGAATGCAGAATTTCTAAGTCAATGATCACTCAAGGAGATGTTTCAATGTTTATTGTGAGGTCAAGTGCGTTATCCATAAAAACATACGCATAAAGATATTCAAACAATAATCTAATATACACATTTTGATGGGGAATTAGCATCTCAAACGGTAGAGCTTGCATGTATAACAGTTATAATATTTCTTCTTTGGACCTAACATCATATAATAATCATTCGGAAACCATTCATACAAATCATTTTTAACACGTCTCAATTATACCTCAGCTTTGGTCATATAAATCATATATTTGCCATTGAACCAATTATTCATATTAGTTCACTAACATAATATTAATGTAAACTACATCTAATGTGTCCATACATGAGTGCAATATAGGCACAACTAATCCATGACAACACATCTAAATCACTTACATATTCAATAACGGCTAAGAAATTATGCATGACAATGTTATACAATACATGATATGGCCACTTTCTGTTCATTAATAATACATTTCTTTATCTGACATAATAGAGTCATGACTTTATCTGACATAAGAGAGTTGTACAAAGAACTTACCTTAAAATTGAATTGAGAATTCCGTCAATGATCGGTCAAGGAGAAGGTTTCAATATTTATCGTGAGGTCAAGTGTGTTGACCCCTTTTTATAGTCGAAACATCACTGATCAATACTGTATTGGCCCAAACATTAAAATGTCTTACGGTTTTGGTTGAGTGACATAGATCAGGTATTTTGAAATATACTAATGCCAATAATGGTTATCACCCCCTTCAATTTTTTTAATTGGTGAGGGGGTTGGGGGTGAGTGTGTATGGGGTTGGGTGGGGAGGGGACCATTATTGGCATGAGTATATTAGTAACTGTTTAGGATGAAAGTGAAATTTGTGGCAAATACAAGCAAATATATACAAACAGAAAAAATACAAATATAAAGAATTTATTCATAAATTGTGCACTGTCGCAGTAACAAAACCAGTCACACAGAAAAGCAACACAATCTATTCTGTCAAAAATGCACCCTTTTTAAAATCTACCGTTTGGAATCACATCCGTGAAGATCAGAGGTAGTATTGGTCAGTAGCGTCCCTTGCTTGACGTAAGAGGCGACTAACGGTATTGGGTGATCAGACTCGCTCATAATGACAAACACTGGATTGTCTGGTCCAGACTCGAGTATTAACATACCGTCGTCATACAGCTGGGCTATTGGTGCATGTGACGTTAAACTAACAACCTCACAAACAAGCGTAGTATCACTCTGATGACGTGACACTGTGATATTAAGTCACATTTATAGAAGTAACAGTGTTCCAGAACAATGCTCACTCTGAAAATATATAGTCTTAATACAAACAAGCAACTTCGTTCCAATAAAATGTAACCGCAATCGAGACCCGTGAAGATTAGCGTTAGAATTGGACTTTAGCAACCCATGTTTATTGCAAGAGGCGACTAACGGAATCGGGTGGTCAGGCTCGCTGACTTGGTTGACACATGTCATTGTATTCCCAATGCGTAGATCGATGCTCATGCTGTTGATCACTGGATTGTCTGTCCAGTTTCGATTATTTAGCCACAGCTGTCTGTTAAAATTGTAAACATTGTGGTTTCTGACTATTTTTTTATTTAACTACAGCTCATTAACTACATCTTACACATTAAGAGAACACAGATGAACCTACGTGAATACTTAAAAAACCCAACTTTTCATAATAATACTAATACATTAGTAAAGCTCCTAATATCTTCCTTACGGATGCTCAGTGGCGCTAATGCAGTGATAGAACTGAACATATATACATAAAACAGAGAACAGAGAATGATTATCTACTGGTACACAGATAGAAATAGGTGAGTCTTAAGCTGTGATTTAAAGGTGTCTTTAGTGGTTGTATTTCTGAGGTTTTGGGGAAGTGAATGCCAGAGTTGTGGGTTGACGAAAGAGAAGGCGCTTTCGAAAAGTCCGTTTAGTGATTTTGGGTCAAGAGAGAGTCACTGCGGGATCTGAGACTTTTTATGTACGTATATGATACTTATATCAAAGCATATGTTTTGATAAGCGTTATTCAGACAGTGGCATTATCACGGTGACGCGGTGGCAGTTTTGTGAGGCAGGCTATAGCGTTGTAATCGCACACTTGTTGTATATAGTTTATACAAATAGGTATGACCTAGTTTAAATGTTTATTCGGATGTTGGTCGTTTATTTTCAGTATTTACGCAACTTAAAGAAATTATATCAAATTGTCAAAACATCAGCATTATAATTAAAACAAACATCAAAAAAATCCTTAAGTATCTTCTTTGTAGATGAAAGTTTTATAACATAGAGATGAAAGTATCATCTACTTTGATTTTGCAAACAGTAGGCGACGATTGCCGCCTATGGGGAAGAGTACGCTCACCTTTTCGCAAACATCTGGTAACGTCAATGTTTGATCGTAATTCATACACACGTGCTCAGAATACAGTCGGGTCGTACAATGGACTCTGCCTTCAGATGAAAAATCTTTTGAATATGGAAAAGCACGTGTCGCTGTTATCAAAGAAAATTATCGTGCCATGAAAATCAATGCTGATGGTGAGAAACCCCCCATTGTGCTAAGTTCTTTATTCACACATCATCAACCAAATTCAGCACAATACAACCTTCACCATCTACACGGGCAATCCACCCCGTTGACGAATCTCTTCGGTGCATTATAGCGATAATCACATGGCGACATGTCTAACCAGCCTACAGATCAGCAGGAACAATTTCAACCTGTCTGCTTATCCACTGTACAAGGAGCACAGTACTAATTATAGCTCGGGCACATTTAAGTAATGTAACACGCAGCATCTAGTCTCTGAACATATATTACCGAAAAAATGGCTCCTACATCACATACAATAAATAAGTTAAAAGAACACAAAGACTCTCTTCATTTCCGGAAACTGTGATAGACTTGCCACATTCGGTGTATTGGGTATATTTGTTTCAGGATCTGTATGAAACACTAATGCCACTATAGCAGGACGTACAAACTGCATTTAGTCCATACAGAAAAAAATATTTACCATTACACAATAGGTATCTCCCTTTGTGAATATTTACAAAATTGTAAATCTTTGTAATTCACATGTTTACAAATTTGTAAATGTCTTAAAACCTTATCTTTAAAGACGTTTACAAGCTAGTTTAAACGTAGACTTTTGTGCAGCGCCAAGTGATACACTTGATGCTTCTCTGCTATGAAATCTAGCAGTTTTGGATGTGGGGAATGAGCTGGGTACTCTCCTATTAGTATTATGCACATCTGCATCTTCCAAAAGTGTTTCCGGAGCCAATTTCTGGAATGTACATATTACATCTTTACAAGCCACAATTTCAACACGGAAGGAACAGCATTACCTAAATTATTTGTCCAGTAAACCTCATGCTGGACGTTTGTCCGTAAACCATCAACAGTCATCAGCAGACGGCCTGTAGGATTGCAGTCTGCGCATGCGTTAAACCACCATCCACTCTGATAATCGACTGCGCAGCTTCCGGATGACTGGTTGTCGTTGTCGCGGTCAAATGTACTGAAAGAGGACCCATTCAGAGGGCTCAGACAATCACCAAGAGGTTTGTTGTACGGCGTCCTCACGGCCGAAAATGTAATCCTGTAGCCGTTCGTTTCATCGGCCACTCGCGTATCTTCATAATATTGCTGATGGCGACTTTTATTCTTCAGTACAGCCTCCACTTTCAATTCATATGAACCAGGTTTTGATATGAGATGAATCTTCTCAAGTCCAAGCCAATGGTCACCTGACATATCACCAAAACCGTTTTTGTAGCCGTCCCAGTTTTGGTAGAAATCCACTGAAGACAGAGACCGATATGCAATTCTTGTTCTCCCGCCGAATTTCATGGTGCAGTGGACCGGAAATGACGTTGTGGAGGCCATTGGTTTAATATTGTACACACCGTTGGTGTAGCCGTGGACGGAGTTGAAACCCTCAGAACAATCTGTTGGAAGAGAATTGTCATACATTGTATATATGGTCACCTTTACACAACGGTGTCAGCGCGACATGTATTTGTTATCATTCCTATCTTTCGATAACATCCTACCCGAAGGATCGTCCTGTTCGACACAGGGGTGAGGTAGCCTAATGGTTAACTTAATGGTTAAAGCGTCTTCTCGTCACGCTGAAGTCCCTGGTTCGATTCCCCAGATAAGGTGTGAAGCCCATTTCTGGTGTCCCCCGCCGTGATATTGCTGCAATATTGCTGAACGCGGCGTAAAACCATCAGAATTTATATCTTGACAATATAATACCGATTATAAAAAAAAGTTTGCCAATATGCCTTTGTTTAAAAACAGTGGAAAATGTAGATTGTTAGGGTATCGTCAGTCTGCTTTAAAATCATTTTAGGTTCCTTTTGCAGGTCGTGAAGGGAATATTTCCTTCTAGTTGAAAAAGTGGCCATTTTATTTCTAGAACGTTGTCTTTTAGCGACCGGTGATAAGTAAAATGATATAGCAATACAGAAAACAAAGAGCTTCACATTTTGGATTTTCGCTTAACTCAGTCTCAAAAGCCACCAAATGTGAAAATAACCCCCGAGTGTTTCAAAAACACCAACCATGATAAAGCAGCAAGTCATGACCATTCGTTAATTCCAAGGTCCATATCTTGCTTGGAAACAGCATCAGGGACGCCAAATAGTGACGAGGTAACAGAATAGTACCTATTCTAGAGAATCGAACTCAGGGCTCTTGGCGCCACAAGTCCAAACTTTAACCGCAGTACTTTGCTACCACGTCGCTCCAGATTGTTTATATCAGCCCGACTGAAGTGAGTTCTGAAGCGTTGTACATTTCATGCAAGTATTCACCAGCAGTGAAGCTGGTTCCCGGCTCCCTTTGCGCGCGTCAATTTGCGCTAAAGCTTGGCTATGCCAATGGAGGAGACGGGGCCCAGCTTAGGGTTAACCCAAGTCGAGATATTAATACGCGTAAGCAGACGAGAGGTACATTCAGCAAGCATGTCAAAGAATTTCAGACACTCTGGTGAGAATGATATTTTAACGAATTGAGATACTTATTATAGATGTTTCTATCATTCTAGTATTACCGTAATCGACGTATTAAGCGCTGCGTTCCACTATGTGATCACTGACCAATGTGTTAGTAATCTTTATAAGCGATATCTACTTAAACTGAAATTGTGCATGCCAGTTTCTTATGTGTATTATGCATTACACTTCACTTTAACCTATCCCAGCGTTTGATTGGATCAGTGAAATATTAATGGAAATCAAGGGCATAACTTTATAGCATCACGGGAATAAATCCCTAAAGTCACCGAAAAGCATGCCCTAGAGATACAGATTATGGTTATGCCAGTGCAAACTACCACTAAAACAATTGTCCCTGTAGTATAATACTATAAGACTAGGTTTTTGGTAAAAGGAACAATTGGAACGAACACAGAATTGCTACTCGGTGAGGTATCGCTACGACGAAGGTTCTCATAGCAGCTTGCTGTGACATTTGTGGGATATATGTTACCTTACCGGGATCTATTTTGGATATTGTCACGATGAATTATACCTAACGATCAAGGTGCCTGAATATTGGTTACACGCTACAAGTGGACTTGCTCGTGTAAGGTACCGAGGCAAGGAGGTTTTAGTGTCAGCTGAGGTCTTTTGAAGCCTGATTTAATGCATGTACATGTATATATCACAAGACAGGAATTAGCTCTTAACCATCGGTATAAGAATGATTTGAACCACATGCAAGAGAATTTTACGAATGCATCTGCTCGAATAAATATGTATGCTGTTGCCATAGCATCCACAGTAGAGTTGAGGCGATACACAAATTCTTACACTCAATACCAATAAATACCCACCGGTCATTGGTCGCTCACACCGTGTACCCACGTGACCATCAACACATGCGCATCTACCATCTGGCTTCAGGAAACCGCCATTGAGACATGCCTGAAATAACAATGATAACGATCAATAAATCCATGCTCGTCAAACGTATGTCATGGCTTATAGCAAAACAAAATATTCCAGAAATACACATTGATGAGAAAATCGATTTAATAATACAAATTGCCTTGTGTGATTGTTTTAGGCAATATTGTTCATCTTTTAACCAATAAATTTCAGACGTGTATTCTGTTTTATGTTTTGGACAAATTATCTTAGCGTGTAAGTTTGTTGTCTTACAAACTTATGGTGTCAATAGATATTGATGAAACGCTATGCTCATGACAGAAAAAAGCAACAAAAGAAACAAAACAACCCAGACTGGTTAAAAAAACTTCACAATAATCAGCATTCGTAAACTGCCTTCACTGCTGTTACCATGACTACGTTAAGGCCTACATCGCTGACGTACATAGCAGTAAAAAGTACTAATCAAAATATTACATGGATGATCATCTTTAATGAATTAATAACATTATCATCCTCGTAGTTGATTTCATGAAATATGAACTTAAACAATAATTCAATCACTTTCTGAACTGGACTCTAAAACTGTGTCACATAAAATTATGACTTTATCCAATAAATAAATTTATGTGTTACATTGAAGCAAAATACCTGATGCAGTAAATAGTATGAAACAGGCTTTCTAAGATGCCTAGCGGTTAGAACAATCGAAAAAAAAAATACATTATCAGACAATAAAGGTATAGTTTTTTGATGACGTAACAATTGAATGACGTTTTCCCGTCACTGCGCCATTCTAGTGTGCCCCCTCGTAATCGAACCATTTTACATTACGTCACAATGTAAGCGACGTCACGATGCATGTCAGTTGTCATCGCCTCGTACGGCCTCCTACAGTAAACTACACCGTTGCATCCAGTTTCTTGGTTTGCTGTTGCTTCACGCAGCTAACATCACTGGTGGAAACATTACGTTTATGTTTTACGACGGTTAAAATGTGTCATTTCGACTCACAAGTTTTCAGCGACACGGTAACGTTCGTAATGTTTACATTCCCACAATGCAATTGTGGAATGTCGCTTGACTACTCAACTTCCTCTGGATGTACTGATCTAAACTTACGCTGGTAGTAGAAATGCAACGTTCATATTGCCCCATATGGTTTACGTTAATGACAGATGTAATTAAAATAATTCAGAGAAGATATTTAATCCGAACGTAAACCGTCATCAAACTGTTATCATTTGTTTTTTCTGGTAACGTTCGTCTTAACGTAGACACATCAATAGGGGCAGACACATCAATAGAACAGCGCGCCAGTTAGCCCTGTGCGAGGATTCTTAATTTAGGTCACCGACACCGTCGTTTGTTTTCTGCCTTAAATTAATCGTAATTATCTTTAGAAAGTATTAAATTTGGCATCAAACAAAAAAAGAAATACAGCTTAAGTTCGTCCCTACCACCATGTCAATAGTTGTAATAAAACACACTTTCGCCCTGAACTATTATAACGTTATGGCACTCGGACGCAAGCGTCCTCGCATGCTGTACCAAACTATAAAAGTTTGAAAGTGCTGTTCTTTTTTATTTCAGAGACTAGTTGTTAGTCTAGGGCGGATACAGCTTTTTAAGAAAGTGTGTGTGTGTGTGTGCGCGTGCATGTGTGCGTGCGTGCGTTCGCGCGCACACTATTGAGAAAAGGAGGGGTGCACATTTCATTTTCACCCGGGTTTCAATGGTCTTTTAATAAATTTTCAGGGCAAAAAAAGAAAGTGTGGGGGGTGCGCACCCCCTCTGGATCCGCCTGTGTGGCCCATATAAATTCAATGGGGTTAAGTTCATAGTGTCTCACCGGAGTTATCAGAACAACATGTCCCTGACATCCAGCTAGTGCATCAGTTTCGTACTGTGGTTTAGTTTGTGTACTTTCATTTTTTCAAGAAGTTTTGGTTTTGTGTCTTTGGTATCAAGAGAAAGATCATGATCTTTCAACCAGGATTTGCATCACACACTTTTTGCTGGCCATGGTTGGGGCAACTGTTGATTCCTACTTCACATTATGGTAAGAAGCGTTATCTAAAACATTAACGCTTGGGTTGTGTAACTCTGGAAACAGTTGATGTTCCATCCATTCCATGAACACTTGAGAATTCATTTCCTTGTGATAGTCACCCTCACTGCTGTTTGCCTCGAAAACAAGACCCCATCCTGGAATCAGTCCACAGTCTCTCCTACCCGCGTGTAATATGATGAGTCTTTTCCCTTTACCTGACGGTATCTGAGGCGCAGAGTACATGTCACATGGCAGCCACATTCTATCTGTCGAATATTTTTTTGTTCACCTACGTTTCATCAGTATACACAATGTCAAACCCCAGTTCTCTGTACTCACGTATCTGTCTCAGGTAGGTACATCTCTGATTGACCATAGTCTTCTCTTCTCTGAACAAATGTCTATTTTCTCCTCTTTTGTACTAGCCGCAGCTGATAGTCCCTTGAATATTTATTTAAAGATAAGGATCATCCATTTGGTATCCATAGTGATAAGAGAATAACGGTCAAGCATATCTTTCAAATTTCAGTTTTGTCAAATAATAAATATTTCAATGTCAAGACAGTAAAGGAATTCTTAGTAAAGTTCTTTCTTTGATAATATTGTAATTTTTAGCAGAAATAGATCTCCATAATGAATTTCGAAGTACAAAGTGATGTATATTTATTGTGTGATTATCAACTGAGGTTGTCTGGTTGTGCCCTCGACGGGGATTGAAGTAGCGTAAAGTGATTGTTCCTCTAAAAGGGTACATGAAACAAACCCATTCAAAGTATATCGAGAATCTCACCCAAGTGTCTACTGATATCAAATACATCAACACGAGTTGAGAAAGTTACAAATATCCGAGGCTTGCCCAGGATATTTTCCCTTTTATCAATGAGTGTTGATATATTTGATAACAGAAGACACGAGGGTCAGATTCTATTTATCACAAAAAATCACTCTTCATTGGTTTTCAATGAAAACTGTACATCTCTGAACAGGAAGCCGCCGCCATTAGACTTGCAGTGCAGCGACATCATAACAGTGTGACGCCATCACGTTAATGACGTCATAGCATTGTCAGGACATGGTAAAAAATCTGTCAAAAAGAGATATGATCTCACACAAGCAATATCGCCAATGGAACACGGTTTTGGCTAATATAGTATAGAGGATATTATATGAGTACCCATGTCATACTATGTTTACGACAAGAGTGTTTAAATGTTGGTATTGATACCGATATTAAGGCACTCGTGTCGTAAACAGAGTATGACATAGACACGAATATAATATTCTATTTATTACCCAAGTCGTCAAATTGAGGAAAATAAACCCAAACCTAAACCTACTTTTAACACAGGCTGGCTGCCCTAATTCCGAAAGCGGAATGGTTAAATCATTATAAAAAAAGGTATTTCCTAATAATTCTGTTTATAATAATTCTTTTGATGCTTGTCCTCTGCAAGATGATGCAACACCGGGTATTTTATCTGCAGATATGTCAGACGTCGAATAACTTGTATTAGATTCATCAATAATGACATCTTAGAAGCGTTATTGCATTTGAAAAATAAAAAATCAGCTGGTCTTGACTGACTGACTGACTGAGTTTGGTTTTACGCCGCTTTTAGCAATATTCCAGCAATATCACGGCGGGGGACACCAGAAATGGGCTTAACACATTGTGCCCATGTGGGGAATCGAACCCGGGTCTTCGGCATGACGAGCCAACGCTTTAACCACTAGGCTACCCCACCGCCCCAGCTGTTCTTGACCTCGTGTTAGTGGAAAAGCTTCACAGAAAAGTTCACAGTTAGTTGTCATGCCCTTTTTGAATAAGTGTTTTAACAAATTGTTTGAAAATGGTATCTTCCCCCGTTTTTGAGCGCGAACAATTATTGTTCCATTACATTAGAAAGGTGATGTCACCAATCCAGATAATTACAGAGGAATCTCCCTTATGAGTATTTTAGGTAAAGTCTTTACATCTGTTCTAAATAACAGACTCACTAAATGTACAAGTATGACAGATACAATTCCGGAATCACAAGCAGGTTGTAGAAAGAAATATTCAACTTCTGATCATATCTTTACACTATTTGCAGTAGCCCAGAAATGTCTATCCCGTCGTTAGCGTAAACTATATGTAGCTTTTGGGGATTTCCGTAAAGCATTTGATTCTGTTAATCGTTCTAAATTGTGGTACTCTTTGAGTAACGGCATGGCATCCAAATGTTTCCACATCTCTTAGCACTTTTTATTCTTCAATTTGCTGATGACATAATTCTTTTATCAGAACACGAATCTGTAGTTGGACTTCAAACCTAGTTGAATATTTTGGAACTGTATACTAAAACACGGGATTTATCAGTTAATCTAGATAACCTAGTTGAATATTTTGGAACGGTATACTAAAACACGGGATTTATAAGTTAATCTAGATAACCTAGTTGAATATTTTGGAACGGTATACTACAACACGGGATTTATCAGTTAATCTAGATAACCTAGTTGAATATTTTGGAACGGTATTCTACAACGCGGGATTTATAAGTTAATCTAGATAACCCAGTTGAATATTTTGGAACGGTATACTACAACACGGGATTTATAAGTTAATCTAGATAACCTAGTTGAATATTTTGGAACGGTATTCTACAACGCGGGATTTATAAGTTAATCTAGATAACCCAGTTGAATATTTTGGAACGGTATACTACAACACGGGATTTATAAGTTAATCTAGATAACCTAGTTGAATATTTTGGAACGGTATACTACAACACGGGATTTATAAGTTAATCTAGATAACCTAGTTGAATATTTTGGAACGGTATACTACAACACGGGATTTATCAGTTAATCTAGATAACCTAGTTGAATATTTTGGAACGGTATACTACAACACGGGATTTATCAGTTAATCTAGATAACCTAGTTGAATATTTTGGAACGGTATTCTACAACGCGGGATTTATAAGTTAATCTAGATAACCCAGTTGAATATTTTGGAACGGTATACTACAACACGGGATTTATAAGTTAATCTAGATAACCTAGTTGAATATTTTGGAACGGTATTCTACAACGCGGGATTTATAAGTTAATCTAGATAACCCAGTTGAATATTTTGGAACGGTATACTACAACACGGGATTTATAAGTTAATCTAGATAACCTAGTTGAATATTTTGGAACGGTATACTACAACACGGGATTTATAAGTTAATCTAGATAACCTAGTTGAATATTTTGGAACGGTATACTACAACACGGGATTTATCAGTTAATCTAGATAGTATATAACAAGTTTTATGGATAACAACTTCTTTATTTTCGTGAGTGCGACGTTTCGATACAGATTCTTGTACCGTTGTCAAGCAAGCACTCTTGCTTGACAACGGTACAAGAATCTGTATCGAAACGTCGCACTCACGAAAATAAAGAAGTTGTTATCCATAAAACTTGTTATATACTGTACGTCTCAACTTCTAAAATGCCACTCAAACAAGTTAATCTAGATAACCCAGTTGAATATTTTGGAACGGTATTCTACAACGCGGCATTTATAAGTTAATCTAGATAACCCAGTTGAATATTTTGGAACGGTATACTACAACACGGGATTTATCAGTTAATCTAGATAACCTAGTTGAATATTTTGGAACGGTATTCTACAACGCGGGATTTATAAGTTAATCTAGATAACCCAGTTGAATATTTTGGAACGGTATACTACAACACGGGATTTATCAGTTAATCTAGATAACCCAGTTGAATATTTTGGAACGGTATACTACAACACGGGATTTATAAGTTAATCTAGATAACCTAGTTGAATATTTTGGAACGGTATACTACAACACGGGATTTATAAGTTAATCTAGATAACCCAGTTGAATATTTTGGAACGGTATACTACAACACGGGATTTATCAGTTAATCTAGATAACCCAGTTGAATATTTTGGAACGGTATTCTACAACGCGGGATTTATAAGTTAATCTAGATAACCCAGTTGAATATTTTGGAACGGTATACTACAACACGGGATTTATAAGTTAATCTAGATAACCTAGTTGAATATTTTGGAACGGTATACTACAACACGGGATTTATCAGTTAATCTAGATAACCTAGTTGAATATTTTGGAACGGTATTCTACAACGCGGGATTTATCAGTTAATCTAGATAAGACTAAAGGTGGCTGGATGTATTCTAAAGAAAGACGGTCCTTTAATAACTAACCTGTAATTGTCTCTGATCATTATACTTATCTTGGTATTAAGTTTACATCCGCTATGAATTGGATAACATCTGTTACTGAATTATCATTGAAAGCTAAGAAAGCATTGTTAAGTCTTTTATCTGCCTTGTATAAAATTGGTGTGTTGACGCCCAGTATTTACCTTAAACTATTTCATTGAAAAATTCAACCTATTCTTTTGTATGGATCCGAGATCTGGGGATTCCAGCGATATGAATGCTTAACAAAAATACATCTGATGGCTTGTAAGACATTTTTGAATGTTGGATCATCTACGCCGAATTATCCCCTGTGTATAAATGCTCATATTCGATGTATAAAATTCTGGATTAAGATATTGAGTATGCAAGGAAAGAGATTAACTAAAAAGTCTTATAACATGCTTATTCATTTGGACAACATTGGTAAAGTGACGTGGACATCGTATGTAAGAAAACGTTTGTTTTCACATGGTTATGGTTTTGAATGGTTAGGTCAGTCAGTTGGTGATGCAATTTGTTTTTAACTCAGTTTCGAGAAAGAAGTCTTAAAGGTCACATGCAACCAAAAAATCAAACATAATTAAAACACAATTATCACTTATTCATGACATATAATATGCATTGCTGATTATGAAAAAACATATAAACAAAATTATAAGCGTATAATCGCAAATCAAAAGTGCAATATTTTGTACTTGGGTTTACTTCCCTCGAAACGAACCAGCCGGGATACCGAACCCAGTCAGAGCGGGTGGGTGTGCACTCAAGTGTAACGGCTGGTTCATTAGCAGATGCCGCCTTCACGGCTCACTGTGTGTATATATAGAGAGATGTTGGGTTTTGTAAATACATGCTCATTTTTTGTGTATAACATTTTGCAATCAACAGACATCATAACATGTCATGTGTTCAAGTATCACACCTGCCTGTCTGTGTAATTACATAATGTGACAGAGACCGAACTCGGGCCATAAATCAATGCATTTTGTTTATAGTGTATAGCCTGATTGGTGTTAAGTTCAAATTGCATGTGGTCAGTGATCGCAGTTGTGTATTGAATATTGTCATTAGCAGACAGGCAGGCAGACACACAGGTGTCAATAAAACAAGACATTGAGTTTTGTCTGTGACAGCGACATATCTATATCACTGTTAGAAATTGTGTCAACGCTAAATAATGACATTGCTTTTAAGTATCGAACTGAGAAAGTGACTCGGTAAGAACGTGTGGTGAAATAGACAAATGAAATTATATAAACAGTTTATTTACTGTCATAAAATATAAAAAAGCTCGCGACTGTGAGATATCAACAAAACATTATGAAAATAGCTCACACCAGAGCCTTCACCGAGTATTCACCAGACAGCCCGCTTCCAAGTTGCGCGAACCTATTTCACTGCGCACGTGCTATGAGCGCAGCCCAGCTGTTGAAACCCGTATTCCCCAGAAAAGTCTGGGGAAAATTAGTGAAACGTTTGAACTCCGATTTCGCGCGTTTTTTTTCATCGCGTTATTTTTCAACTTTATAAGTTGAATTTGCATTTTTTGATGCTTTGTTTCGGTAAGTCCATACCGAAAGGTATCAGAATCTGCAAAGTTGTGTTTTACGTTGCATGTGACCTTTAATATGTTTAATCAAAAATGACATTTAGTCATAGATATGGTATGACTCTTATAGAATATACAAATCACTACTCAAGAAATACCTATCATCGTTTTTAACATCAAAGAAATTAAGATATCCATTCATACGTTTTAGGTTAGGCTTGATCAACATAATGGTAAAAGAAGGAAGACATTTTTATATAGAACGATGCAAGAGAATGTGCCCTCTGTGTAATTTAGATGTGGAAAATGAAATCCAGTTTGTACTTGTATGTACTTTTTATAAATATTTGCCTATGAAATATATAGCTGAATATTATCTATGTAAGCCACCCACATTAGCTTTTAAACTACTTTTTTCATCAACTGACCAGCATGTAATAATAAAGCTGTCCTACTATATAAATTATGCTCTTATTAAACTGGCCATCTTATTAAACAATCTGATGTAAAGTTTTGTAGACCATCGTATTTCACTACTTGTACGTAATTTAGTGCCTGTGACATGATTTGCTGTTTGGATCACTAAAGTACTGTCAGAAATAGAAAAAAACCCTGTATTTTCTCATTTATCTCTACAATTTATGTAGTTGATATGTGAAAGTGTGAAATATCTGCCCGCCTAACCACAGTCTCAGTGGCAGAGAGATAAGAAACGGAGAAAAATGACTTTCCTGAGGGGAAATTAGTGCAAAATTGAGCAATGCGGTTTTTTCTAAGTCCGAATGGACTTAATTGGAACAGACCATGGCTTTTTGCAAATTAGTGTGCGACGATATTGTATTACAAAGGACACTTTATAAATGCCCAATTTGAAACTAGACGTAGATTCATTATAAACGATAGCTGACGTAAACATAATAACTTTTATACTGAAACTACCAAGGATGTAGCTACCATGGAGTCTCACTGTCACTATAAAAAGAAACAGATAGGAGTGGTCGCCTCAAAAGCAAAACCTGGGATCGGGCTGGGGCATAGAGATATCAGCTAAGATAAGATAATCCTTTAGGACAATTATACTGGGGAGATACACGGCACGTCATAACAATTTACAAATAATATTTAGTCCTGTCGATCTTCGGGTGGTCATGCCACCTATATACTACGATGCGTTTTTATGCTTTTCGGGTATCATATTCTTTTACATATCTCAACATAAACTTTATGAAAGAAAGACACGAAAGATGTTAATCACTAGATGAGACATAGTCAACACACATGAAAAAACACAAAATATCTTTGAGATGACCCCTTGTGCCTGCAGGCAGCACGTGCATTTCATGCCAGATGAGTCGACGGTCCGTCGTCATACCTGGCTGAGCGACTTAATTGTCATCTATAGTCTGATCGATTGTTTTCAGCAGCTATTCGTAGTTTTTCTAAGTTTTGCCCGATTTTACGAGTAAACATGCTTTTCTGGATATCGTATTACGCATCCCACTGAACGCCCAGTTAGGCCGAAGTGGGTTATTTCGACATATGCAATTTGCAACTGTGTAAATTTTTGGGATACAGAGTAAAAACCTAAAAACAGTTTTATTCTATTTCCGACAGTACTTTAATTACTACTTATTGCACTATATGTATAACGTATATGTATAACTTTTGTACAATAAAAATCTTTGACTTTGATCCGCGGTCGTCGCATGTAGAACGCAACGTCATCCCATGACAAAGTCAAAGCTTGTGCTCCCTATTCGACACAATAGATCATGCCATACTATTCACAAGACTTGAGACCAGACTCGGCATCACTGGATCAGCACTCTCATGGATCAAGAATTATCTTCAAGATCGAACACAGTATGTGACTGTTGGTTCTGCAGCCTCAGATATAACTTCTCTATCTGTTGGAGTACCTCAAGGATCTGTTCTGGGTCCGCTCCTTTTCAGTGTCTACATTCTGCCGATCGGTGACATCATAAGAAGTCATGGCCTCCAATCCCACTTGTACGCGGATGACAACTAACTATACGCGTCGATCGAACCAGTAAGCGCCCACCATGGTGTCCTACAACTGGAAGCTTGTATTGCCAATATGAGAGCATGGATGGCTCTTAACTATCTCAAGCTGAACGACAGTTAATGATTACTAAATCTTTCACGCTATAGCCCATCCCATCTTCAGTCATGCTCAAAGCGCTTTGTTTCCCCAAATTATTACCGGTAACTAAGTGAAAGGTATATATCCTGATAGCAAACCATTAAATGAGTTAGTTAATATTTAACGTCACATCGGCAATATCTCAGCCATATCGTGACGAAAACAATTTAAACAATACAGATGAAAATAATTTGAAGAGTAAAATCTGACGACGATGGACAGTAAAATGCTAGAGTATCACAGATATCAACATAAAACTAGCATGCAAAACTAAAACATTATACTTAAAGAAGACAATAAAATTATATAACACGGGTTATAGATTGCCAACAACTGAAGGTAGATCACCATTATAGGGACCATGGGGACTGACATTACTTTTGCTACCTGCATGGACCCTAGCTGGATTTACACCATCCCTTGTCAGCAATTTTTGACAATCTAGCTATAAAATTAAAATACCATATATACTACAGTTGGAAATCGTAGTATGTTTAAAATTTACTTAATTGTTTTGGGACTTACGTACCCCCTCAGGAGGACAACACTTTTACGGTGCTTTAACCCCTTCGAGGATACAGCGTCTAACAATATCAGTTGTTTATCTAAACTACCAAGCATAAAAGATTTATCGATTTACACAACTTTAATCTGATAACTCTATTTCTTTTAAAAATGCAATGATTAAATGACAATTCAAACAAAAAAGACTCTTCAATGTTTTGACATTGAAATACTTATTTCAATACACTTATTTCAATCTGAAGAATGCTTGGCAAGGGTTTCACTAAGCTTGTTGGCAATGTCAACCTTACCTGTCAATACATTGTCACCATCCTTCAGATGGTGGACAGTAGACTTTGAACCTTTGCCCGTTATTCTTTGAATCATGTTCCAAACCTTTGACATCGGTGTGCGGGAATGTATCTTGGAAACAATTTCCCAAGATTGACGCTTATTCTTCTTAAATGCACGTCGAGGACAAACCATGAAGAAAGGTACGGCAAGTCCAAATGGCCCCGAGTACGGTGATCCCACCTTTACTTACTTTCTATAATCTCATTTTGAGTTTTTGTATCGTGGACTAACTGTTAGGTTTTAAGTTTTCGATTTTTAAAACAATTTGCGATATAGTGATAGTTATCATACTGTCCATTGGTGACAGTTTTTAAGGTTTTAAATAGTAACAGTACAACGTGGTTCAGCCACAATATGGGTGAAATGTTGCCGTTATTTGAACTCACTTACTCACATGGTTATGCCACACACATGACGAGTTATTTATACAATATATGATATACAGTTACTCATATACAATGAACAAGCCTCCGTATGTTTATGTGTCAATATCACAGTGTTAAGTAAAATCTCATTCATATTGTAGAAAAACAACTCAATGTCATCAAGGTAACAACCAAGCGCCATCCGCCTCTGACATCGACGTTATGTTATGATCATCTTATTTTTAAGATCGCTTTTTTTCCTGTACTTTAACAGCAAGAAGGTGACGTATTTACGGGCACATCCGTGAAGATTCGGGTTAACATTGATCTTCAGTAACCCATGCTTGTCGAAAGAGGCGACTAACGGGATCAGGTAGTCAGGCTCACTGACTTGGCTGACACATGTCATCGTATCTCAGTTGCGTAGATCGATGCTCATGCTGTTGCTCACTGCATTGTTTTATAAATTGTTTGAAAATGGTATCTACCGCCCGTTGTTGGGCGCGATCAATTATTGTTCCATTACATTAGAAAGGTGATGTCACCAATCCAGATAATTATAGAGTAATCTCCCTTATGAGTATTTTAGGTAAAGTCTTTACATCTGTTCTAAATAACAGACTCACTAAATGTACAAGTATGACAGATAAAATTCCGGAATCACAAGCAGCTTTTAGAAAGAAATATTCAACTTCTGATCATATCTTTACACTATTTGCAGTAGCCCAGAAATGTCTATCCCGTCGTTAGCGTAAACTATATGTAGCTTTTGAGGATTTTTAAAGCATTTGATTCTGTTAATCGTTCTAAATTGTGGTACTCTTTAAGTAATACTGGCCTGAGAGGTAGAATGTATTCGATTTTAAAGTAATGTATACTAATGTCAAAGCTTGTGTACGTTGTGGTGATGATAAGACTGATTTTTTCGACTGCCCCGTTCGCTTAAGACAAGGATGTGGTATGAGTCCAAATCTATTTTCCCTGTTTATCAACGAATTGTACTACACAAATGGTAAGCATGGGATCCACATGTTTCCAGATCTCTTAGAACCTTTTATTCTGTTATTTGCTGATTACGTAATTCCTTTATCAGAATATGTAGTTGGAGATTTTGGAACGGTTTTCTAAGACATGGGATTTATCAATTAATCTAGATAAGACTAAAATTGTTATATTTAGAAAAAGGTGGCCGGATATCTGCTAAAGAACGATGATCCTTTTAATAACTAACCTATCATTGAAAGCTAAGAAAGCATTGATAAGCCTTTTATCTGCCTTGTATAAAATTGGTGTGTTGACGCCCATTGTTTACTTTAAACTATTTGATTGTCAAATTCAACCTATTGTTTTGTATGGATCCGAGATCTGGGGATTCCAGCGATATGAATGCATAAAACATTACATCTGATGGCCTGTAAGAAATGTTTGAATATTGGGCCATCTACACCGAATTGTATGGTGTACGGTAAATGTGGGAGGTATCCCCTGTATATAAATGCTCATATTCGATAAAATTCTGGTTTAAGATACTGTGTATGCAAGAAAATAGATCACCTAAAAAGTAATATAACATGCTTGTTCATTAGGACAACATTGGTAAAGTGACGTGGGTATCTTATGTAAGAAAACTTTAGTTTTCACATGGTTATGGTTTTGTATGGTTAAGTCAGTCAGTTGGTGATGCAAGTTTGTTTTTAACTCAGTTTCGAGAAAGAAGTCTTAATATGTTTAATCGAGAATGGCATTCAGTGATAGATAATAGTTCACGGAATGACTCTTATAGAATGTACACTACTCCAGAAATATCTATCGTCGTTTTTAACATCAAAGAAATTAAGATATTGTTACGGTTAAATAATTGCCGTGACAAAAGGTTTAAGAATCCCATTTGAACCAGCAAAATATAACACAGACAAGTCTAAAATATTCAGTGATATATTGAGCAACAGCAAGCTACATTCGATTATTCGCAATTTTGGTCAATGTAATTATTTAAATTATGTAAATATATTTTATATTTCGGTTTATAAGTAACTATTAAGTCTAAATGATTTACCAATGTGAACTGACATACATATATCTTTTTTTTCATTCAGTAATTTGCACCATTACATAGCAACGTTTTTTATTAGTATTTTATTTTTCGAAGTGGTAAAAATGCATTACACTGGAAACGTCAGTCATGTTTGGTCCGATTCGGTCAGTGCATTCTATTTATTGGGATTATTTCAAGAGGTTAGGGTTAGGGTTAGGGCTTAGGGTTTAGGGTTTAGGGTTTAGGGTTAGGGACCTAATCCAATATAGTAGATACATGACATGTCCGGTGTAATACGTGAGTACCATTTGTTGTTTTTCCTTTTGCATTTTTAATACTGCCGGTTCGGTCAATGCATTCTATTTATTAGGATTATTTCAAGGGGTTAGGTTTAGGGTTTAGGGTTGGGTTTAGGGTTTAGGGTTAGGGTTAGGGGCCTAATCCAATATAGCTGGTCCGGTGTAATAAGTGAGTACCATTTGTTGTTTTTCCTTTTTGCATTTATATAAAATGCATGCATGCACCGTGAAATGCATGCACCGTGAAATCTACGTTTGACGCCTGACGTCAACAACCCTTTTCAGTTTGAGGCATATCGGCTCATTCCACGACACACGTTATCTTGCAGATTACGGAATGGGACGAGTGTGCCAAATGGCATCGGATCCATTCGGCAATTGTCCCTAAATAAAAATCACGAAGTCTACCCGTAACCTTCGTAACTGTCCGTGACCTATTCGACTCTTTCCGTTCATTTCCATGACGTCACAGGAATGACTCGATAAATTTGCACATTGTGCAACAGTGTGGACGTAGCTCAGTCGGTTAGCTGTCGAGCTAACAATCCGAAGGTCGCGGGTTCGCGTCCGACGGGTTCTCATAAACTGGCTGCTTGTCTTAATGACACGTGACCTACGGCAGCGATCGTCCACTCGAGAAGTTCTGGTGCCGTATTCTAAAGGTGCTCCCTTAATTGCCATTTACAATAAGAGCAGATACTCTAATTGAAGGTAGTTTACAATGAGAGCATTCAGGCTC